AGCCTCACAGAGAGAAGAACCAAACCATAAACAGATTTCAAAAGACAGCCCACGATCAGGCTGGAATGGGTAAAAAAAAACGCAGTTTTGGCATACTTATCTTGATGAGGTTCTTTAAAGAACACCAACCTAACACATGCTCAACAGCTGTCCGACTTAGCCCACATTTAATGTGGGTGTCTTTTCGCTTTGAAGAAGATTTTTCGAGCAAAAACTTTTCAGGTTAAGTTTTGGGAAAATAACTTGAGTTAAGTGCGCCGACAGTGAATGGATGGATGTGCACTTGAAAAAAATGCACTTCGATAAACTTGTTTCGCTTCTTAAATTACAAATCGCTGTTCAAATTTCAATAACAAATACACTCGGTGGGGCGCCAACTTCTCGCTCGCTCGCGAGTTGTCGCAACCACATTTTAGGCATCAATTAAAATGCTATAGCTAAATCTATAGACCAGTACACAATAAATATTGATACTGACAGCAACAACAACAAGAACCACAACAAAATCAAGCAGCATCAATAAATAAATAATTCAATGCGATGATCTCACAGAGGCACACAGACAGAACGACAGTGGGGCAGACTGACAGACGAACGGCTGGACAGTTGTACGGCTGCTGATCGTTCTGGGCATTTGACAGGCAGATTTGAGAGATAGATAACGCCATTTAAGTATTGTGTGTGTACCCTGTTAAAACTGAGTGAATGGGGTGTTATGTACGGTGGAGTCAGTATCAGTAGTATTTTAATATATATATTCCCTAATCTACTAAGTGAATCTTGAGTTCTGCTAAAATGTGATTCAGAAAAGTTTTGATTTACTTCGATAAATATCATACAAAAATATTATACATAATTCATTGTCTTATCTTTTCATAACATCATTGTTATGTCTTTAAATATAGTACAATTGCAAAGAGTAAAAATTTCACTTCGATAAATATCGATTCTTTCTGTAAGATTTTTTATCCACAAAACCATTTATATAAAGCTCAGAGCTCTGAAATAGTTAAATAAAGGGCAATTAAACTTTTATTTCAGATCGATAAATATCGATTATCAATTAGTAGTTCAGTTTTCCTCATAAGCAACAGCTGAAAAAAATCCTACCCGTCATCTAAAACCATTAAAATTTTATTGACTATGTGCATATAGGGCATTAGATAGTCGTTCACTGTCGCCTTGATTACTAATTTATATTGTCATTTCTAACATTGTTTGCATGCCTGTTTCTTTTCATTTTCGTTTTCATGTAGCATTGAGTATTGGAATTGTATGTCTGTCAATAAAAAGCATAATCACATAATCACATTCATATTCAAATGATGAAAACCAACTTTTTGGCACTGAATTGTGGCTTCCATGGCGATAGGAGAGGGGGATGCACCGTGTGTTGACACAGTAACTGATATTCAACGGTATTTTCGCCAATAGCATTCGCATGACTATTAAATATGCATTAAAAGGCAACTCTTGACTCTTGGTTGACCTCAAAAGTGTACGCTATTTGTACCTTAATGAAAAGCCCCATAAAATTGTAACGCAAAAAGGCAACCAGGCAACGAGCCAATCAATAATATTATAGATACTATATACATACATATTTATGTAGGTATGTCAATGCATATACTAGTATATGGCATGTCAATTAGCATACAGTTGACATGCCATGACAAACAGTTTATAAATTTATTAAGAGCGCCCCAAAGTATCGTGTGCCGATATCTAGCCCCTAACACTCAATCACAAAACTCCCATGTTGTGCATTCGCAGCTCCAAGTTTTTAAGCTGATAAACTAAAGCAAAGAAGAACCAGAAACTAAACAAAATGGCCAAAACACGCAATCTAAACATATTGGCAGAGTGCCGTTGACGTTAACAACCGAATTCCACTACTATGTATAAGGTATATATATACATACATATATATTTATATATGTATATACATAGTTGTCTTATATCTATAGATAAAAGCAAGAAATGCACGCTAACTTGATTTATGCCAACTAATTGTCACATTAAATTGACTAACGAAATAAACGGGTTTACTAAAGTTAAGCCACGACCTGTAGATACTACCCTTTTTCTGATGTTTTTTTTTTTTAATATTGGTATCAGTTGTTAACATTTTTGAGCTTTGAGTTAGCTTAACCAAGTCAAAATAAATCAAGAGTTTTACGATAAGAATAAATGGTATAAGATATCTAAAACAAACAATGATAAACTTGGAACTGCGTATGACATAAATTTATATTTTAAATTTCAGTCTTGGCTCGTTTGATATGCGGCATAAATATAAACAATATATTTATCTCAAAAAGAACGTGAACCTGTAAGTCTTTAGTTTGCCTGTGCCATGCTATAAATGGTTACAATATTTTTTGTAATATTTTCGTATTTTATTTAATAAAAAATTAATTATATCTTCTAAATAAATATAATCCCTAGTACATTTTCAGTAATCTATAGAAAACGATTTAGGGATTAGACTTATTTAATATACAATTCCCATAGATGTATAACCCAATATTATATTTATATTAACAATCAATTTATAGCTTAATCGCTGCAGGCTCAACAAAATCAATTACATAATAAATAGCAAAATGACCCCATTCAACTGCAAACATTGAAAGTGGCAAATCAAATGCCACACCTACTCTACACGTATATAAAAGGACATACATATATATATTTATAGATACGCTTAACTAGAGTAGAGAGCCCAGTTGGTGAGACAATTAGACACTTAATTGTTTGTTATGCTTAACATAATAACGGAGCAATAGGAGGTCACATAATAGCCGAAAAGCCATAGACCCAAAGCTGGTAAATCCAACAGCCAGACAGCCAACTACCCGCATACCCCAGCCACCCTTCTTTTGGGTGGTTGCTTCGAGTGGTTTTTGGCTGCCAATGAATTGTGTGTGGGGACTAGGGAAAAAAAAAGAGGTAACAGCCAGTTGCTGCTGCCAACACAGTTGAGGGTAAATATACATAACAAACGCACTGTATGCGCATTTTTATATACCTACATATAAATAATACATAAACTGACAAGTCAAAAGTTTTAGCATATACTATATAACGAGCCGATAGGCTAAAGTGCCAACAGCAGCAGCAGCTGATGATGATGTCATTTTGGGCAAACAAAAATTTATCGATTGTCTTGGCAATAATTTATTTCGTAAACACACACACCCATACACAGCCGGACATGCCCCAAAACCACAGAAGTAATTCCACAAATTGACCTTGACATTCAATGACCACAACTGACCAGCCGCAGTCTGAGATCTCATCGGATCGAAGCAATAACGAATAATGACAGCTCATGATTAGAATCAATACAACGAAAGTGTGCTAAAGATAATATTAATGTGTCAATATTGAATGCCATTAAGTACTAGCTAGCTAGAGGCGGCATATAGAAATTAAGCATTAGCATAATGTTGAAATTTCTTTATAAAATGTAGGAAAAATTAAAATATTTTTTATTTTTATATTCTAGAAATTGTATGAAAAACTTGTAGAGATAATTTGATTATCAAAAATTCTATAAAATTACAGAATTAATTTTTTACAAATTCTAAAATTCTTTTGAAGAAAGTTATTCTTAAAAAAAAATAAAATAAAATGTTTGCATCTATTTAGTATTCCATGCTAATGATCAAAATAATAGCTCAAATAAATATATGTCAAAACGTTTTCCGCTAAATGTTTATTAATTCAGAGAGATGAGGCAACGAAATGAATTTTTTGTTCTATTGCCTACAAATGAGAGGTTCGTATAGCTAATTCGTCATTTCATTTGAGACGTTCGTATAGCCAAAACCGACATTCCATTTGATATTTTATTATCATTTTATAAGTTGTCAGTCAATTGCGCTCGATGAAATCTATAAATACATATTGTTGGTGTTTTATATTTAGATGGGTTCGGCGAGTTATCTATATAAAACTAATTGCTAAAGCAGTGAAATATCTAGAAATTTAAAACAAAAGGCGGAAATAACTAGATACAAAAAAAATATATCAAGAAATCTTCCGTCATTTTGAAGATAGATTTAATTCAACGAGATTTCATTTGTCATTTAACTCCACTTCAATTGGTGAAACATGGGGGAATGTAAAAAAATATAAGTAAGCACTTCAGCCCCACAAAGTTGACTAACAAATAATTGATATTTCTATTTACTAACCAAATATATTAACACCTGCCCATGTAAGCCTTACACAAACATACTAATGCCAAATCGGAAGCTAAACAGTGTGAGCAAATGAAATATCTTTGTACCTTGCGCTGCAGCCTATGCTAGCTTATCAGTATATATAATATATGCGTTCTCCTATATTATATATTGCGAAAAAATAGAATTCGCAAATTAATTATTATATAACAAAAATTACTGATGCGATAACAAAACAGAAACCAAATTATTTGTCTACCAAATTGTGCGATATGAAAGACTGAGAGCTACAAACATTTTACTGAACCAGGCTAATAGAAAGTGTACAGCTGATATGTCAAGTAAAGATCGATTACTTGATAGTATAGGAGTGAGAAGATAATGTCAAATGATACTGCAATGCGGAATTGAAGAATACAAAAATAATCTGTCAAAATGAACTAGTTATATTTGCATATGAATATGATCGAATTCACAAATTCGATTTGCGTTGAATTTTGGGAATAATTTATTAAAACTTGGACAAAAAACTGGTTTTATGTTGGTGATTCAGGCACCAACATAAGTATTCTAAAACAAAGCGAATGAATCGGGTCTATTGAATTTTAATATATGTTTTAGTTTCGTTATACATGAACCAGTTGAATCGATGCAGTTAAATTTCAAAATATGTTTTGATCTGGCTAAATATAAACTATGAATACTTTAAAGGAAGTTTTGCATAAACATCTTATCCGAAATTTATGTATTTAGATCTATAAACAGGAAGACCTTATATCTTGACTTCAACCATATTTATTGTAATTTTACCTCGTTTCTCTTTGATGTGGCTGTCGTACTGGGAATTACTGCGTGCGAAATTGATCGACGCCATGGTGGATTGGAACTCCTGGTATTCGTGTTCGGGTTCGTAGGTGTGGGTGCTACGGTTACTTTGTTGCGCTTGAGTCTGATAATCCTGACGCAGACTCTTGCTAAAAGTACCGATGCCGCTCAATGCATGCGCCGACGAGGGCGTTGTTGAGCGCGTGGGCGTGGACACAATCACAAGACTGCTGGCCGGCACGCCCTCAGTGTCGGAATCGTTATCGATGACGTCGACGTTCGCGTCGTCGCTGATGCGTATCTGCGAGGCGGTAAACGAGATATTGCCAGCGTTGCTCGGACTTGCATTCGAGTCAATAAAACCGATTGATTTACGCGACGTTGAGGACGTGGAGGACCGCTCGGACCGTTCGGATTGTGTGGTCGTTGTCGTTGTGCTGGTTATCGTTTTGTGGCTAACAATTTTTCGGGATTCTTCCGTCGAAGAACCGCGCAATTGGCACGTTGCAGCTGGACTAAACACCTCGTCCGGCGTTACTGTTTGCGGTTGCTCCTTCGTGCCAATCGGCGTGGATGTTAGCAGTGTTTTTGTTGTTGATTTTCCCGTTTGCCATGACAGTTCGCTGGGACGGCTTGCTCGTTGCCGTTGCTGTTGCTCCTGGTGTTGTTGTGGCGTTTCGTTGCCACCCACTTGGTACGTTGTTTGTTGGTGCAAACGCTGACGCCGGCGTGGGTTGCTACCCACGGTAATGTCAATGTTACCCGTTGCCATAGCATCCTCGTCGTGTCCACCAAATTGACGAATGCGTGCACGGACTGAACCATCAGTTTCATCGTGTTGCTCGCCCTGTTCACCACCGGCTAGCGGTGACTCCAGCTCATCCTCCAATTTGATTAATATACGTCGGCCACCCGCGGTCATATCGACGCTGTGCGGCGAAGTGACACTCGAACGCTCGCTGGACACACTGGAACGTGACCAGGAGGGTGAATCACGCGGCGAGACATAACCCTCGCCATGGCGATAGATTTTCTCCTCCGCATAGCCACCATCACTAGTCCTTGAGGAGGTAATGATGGTGCGAACGCCATCCACCGCTGGCACTTCGCGCACCGTGCGCTCGCCGTCCAGAAAGCGCTCCAGCTCCATTTGACGAGACAAATCCTTTTTCACAGTGCGTCGCGTGGTGCGCAAGGTGACATTGAAAGGCGACAGCTGATCCTCCACATTGCCCAGCTCAGCGCCCGGACTTATACGACTGGTGGTCTTCAAGGTGACATTGAACGGACTGGCCGTGTGCTCGCTGGTCACTTCGACACGTCGCGGAGTCGTGTGACGCAGGTGCACCTGCTGGAAAGCCAGCTTGGCTGCCTCCGCTTCGGCCAGGCCACGTTGTCGCTCCTCACGCAAACGTCGCTCTATTTCGTGCACATCGATATCGAAGGGATTCTCCTCGTCGTAATCGTCCATTTGCTGCTGCCGCAGTTCATCTGTGCCCAGGTCGGCCGGGCGTTTGCCAGTGCCATCGGACCACACCTTCTCGTATTGGGCCACCTTCTGGCGGAGGCGTTGCGGCGGTGTCCCCAATTGTAGATCGCTGGTACTGCTGGAGGTGGTCAGTGACGTGGTAATGGTCTTCATATACGTACGCGTCACTGTGGACGTCTCCAGCTGTTTGGTTGCCGATGTCTCTTCCTGCTGTTCGACATTCTCTGTGGTTTTCTGCTCATGCGCATGGCGCCATCGAACAGCTGGTATTGGGGGCACGTCCTTACCCACATCCATGCTAGCGCCGGCATCTATGGTTGGATCCTTATGCCTGCCTGGATCTGTGCTATCGGCCATGATAGCATCGGTTTTCTAATACGCTTGTCGTTAGGCCAAAATGTCATTTGGGTTCGCTAGCCACAGCCTTGTCCTTTTGTCCTGCTTCGCTAATGCCGCCTCGCTTGGCAGCCCAAATGCAAAATTGATTTTTCTCACGCAACGAAGCTACAACAACATCAACAGCAATAATAACATCAGCTTTTCCACTGAGTTTTCCTTGCTCGGGAACAACCCCCGTGTGCCCTTCACTTGCTTCTTTTTTTTTTTTTTTTGTCACTTATGGCCCGCTCGTAATTCAACTGTAATTTGTTAAAAGCACACCACGCACAATTTTTAATCACCGAAGCTTTTTGGATTTTAGATTTTCGGTTTTTTACTTTTTCTTGTTTTTTTGGTTTTATGACACAATTTAATATCACATACAACGACGGTGTCGTTAGATAAAAAACACGTATTTCATTCGTTTATGCCTGAGACACAAATTTGATTTAATTTAGTTTTCGGCATAAATTCTATAGTCCACTTCTCCACACAATTAAACTCTGACTAAAATGGCATGCCCTCGGCTAGCAGACAAAACATATTATAATCGAGCTTCAGGTTTCATTTGTTCCGTTTCCAATCCGTTGTTGTAGAAAGCCGGTTCGATACTGAGTCGTCGCCATCGTCAACGTGCTGCGCCTTGTCCAGAGACCAACAACAGCGGCAGAGCCACCAGCAGCAGCAGCAGCCCAGAGTACTGGCTGGACTATAGTAATCGTAGTAAAGCTCAAATTTCGATGAGAGAGCGTGAGCGTAACGAGAGCCGCTGCGCAAAATGTTTTTCGTTTTTTGTTGTTGAGAAGAGAGCAACACGTATACAAATGCAAAAGCACATTTATGTTATTTACGCATTGTGATGTATGTTTACCCACACCGTGCTTTCTGCTACGGCAGCACGTACCACCTTTGAGCTGACGGTTTGTGCTATTAGAGCATAGGCGAAGTTAATGATTGTTTCAAAGGGGTGATTATTATTATATATTGTAATATTATTAAAGATGTACGAACTAATTTCTTTTCTGGAGTCACGCTAGATTTACAAATTATATAATTATTCAAAAATGATTGATACCCCATATTATAATTCCACAGTGCATCAATATTATTTTTATATATCCCCCCTAAGACTTCATGCATTGTTAAACAACGACGACACTGAAACTGCCCTACGACTATGAAAAATGCCGATACGCAGAAAGCTCTTCTATTTTTTTATTGGGTAGTAAAGGTTTGAATGAGCACTGTAACGTGCGCTCTCTTTTACTTGCGCTCTCAATGCCACAAATCATTCACACGCTCTCACACATACGCTCGCTCTGTAACTCACTGTCTCTCTCTCTCTGTCTGTCTATACTCCTGTATGTGTGTGAAGCTCAAGTACAATTTAACTTCTTATTGCGCTTTGCTTTGTTATTGTTGTTCCTTACGTCTTCTGTCTGTGACATCATGAGCGTGAGAAAATACCAATTACACAGTGCTGGGTGGTTGTTTGTAACAAACATATAAACACAGAAAAGCACTCACACGCTCAGAGATATTTATAAATATGCATGTATGTATTGATATGTAATTCGACATTTGCTTGAATAGCAATTATAAAGTATTTGGCAAACATGTACCGTTTATTTTTCGAAGTGGCGCCTGCATAGCAAATGTGGGTCATCACATAATAAAGCTCAACTAACAGCATTTAATGAAAGTCATTCATGAAAGCGCGATCGGCCGCCAGTCACAGAAACCAAAACAAATGTTTATTTTTTGAGCTTACATAATCGTTGTTTGTGTTTATCACATTCAAACAAACAAGTTTTTGGAGCCGCATATTGAGCTAGGCTAATGACGTCACGCTTTGGTGATTGCATTCCATTTAGTTGTTGTTGTCAAACTAGAAGTTGACCTCAAAGCCACAGCAAATTTGTTATGCCAGACAAATGTATATTTATAGAAAATAAATACAACTCAGTCTATGCATTCATATTTACATAAGGTCAACTTATTTTTGCAATCAACTTTCGTAAATACTTAATAAGTTTAAAAACAAAACTCATCTATCAATTGTCACTCCACTATCATATGTTAACATCCAACGTCAATAACGTCGCTGTTAAGCAGATCCACGTAAAGTGGATGGAGAAATTCTATATACTGTAGCGCTGCTTTCTAGGTATAAAGATCCCCATAAAAACAAACACTTAAATCTTTTTAACAACAGCGTGCACATGAATTAATTGGATAAACAATTGTGGCTACAACATCTGGGCAGCACACCACCAACAACAACAAAAACAGAAGAATAACAATAACAACAATGTAAATTATATTAGACAACGTAAAGCAGAGTGTGGCTGTAAAAATTCTAAGTGGGCAATCGCAGTGTGCCTATAAATAGCCAATGTTATTTTAATCAGAACAACAGCTGCTGTTAGCCTCTTAACAGAAGCTGTTACGTTCGCTTTATGACAGTTGCTGTAAGAAGATGCTCTATGTAATTCTGATATCTACGAGTGTTTTTGAATTTAAAAAAAAAAAACCCTGTGAATTTCATTCAAAAATTATTTAGTTGAGTAAGCAACTTAATGATTTAATATTTACGATTTCAATATATACATACAATTTATCTATATATGTATATATGTATTTGTTGCATAGTATAAACTGAAAATATTAAATTTAAAAAATATCACTTAACAATAAAAATTTAATTTAAGAATTGGGATAGAGTCCTAAATTGGCTGGAAATAAAATATATAAATATATTCTAAGTATTCTAGTTATAGTTCACAATTGAGTTGAATAAATGTTTCAATTCGTAGACTTTATAATAAAACACTGAATATATTTATGATTTTATAAACATATTGAAATCTATTTCATTTCATACGGATATATTTATCATCCATCAATCTGCATTTCTTTTTGTTTAAGTTTGAGCAAACAAAGCATTTTCGCATAAACATTTGTTTTCAGCACTTTTCAATATTTTCGGTCAGGCTAAAAATACATTTTTTGGCCATTTATTTCGCACCTAACCATAAAGTTGAGCACTTTAATGGAAAGGCAAATGCAAACAAATTTTTTTTCTTTTTAATATTGACTCGAGCACTAAAAGCGCTTTGTAAACAGACATTCTTCTAGAGTCTAAACTATACCTATATACATATATGTATATATAGGTATCCGCTTAAGCATCAAATAAATGAGTCGAAAAGTCAATTAAAAATGAAACCAAGAAAGAGAATAGAGTTCCTTTAAAGATTTGACCAACATAATATTTGCACAGAAATTAAGCTATGTAAACCATTAAAACTATTAGCCATCAAGATATTTTCGAGCACACACACACGCTCATAATTACCAAAATCATAAAAAGGCAATTAAAAATCGCACTGTCAACAATTTTGATTTGTTTGAATTGCGGCATTCGCATATGTCTCGTCTATATCTATATATCTACATATATCTATAATGTATGATTCGTGACCGATTTTTACGTGCAGAATTTATTAAAATTAGTTTCGAAAGATCTATTTATAGCTATACATTTCATATGTTTGCCATTTGCTTTTGGGGGCGTATATATATAGATACATTTAACATCCCGAATGGACCCACGTCATAATAGAGAGACAGAAAGAAATGTCGATTTCGATTATAATACAATTTTATACAAGCGAATCCAAATGGCTTATGTAGCTTACATTTATGTTGTTTTAAACAAGACTGACTAATTATACGAGAATTTATTGGTGTTTATACTAACTCACAAAATCGATTTCTTCTAATATATTAATATATCTTTAATCAAATCATTAAGATTCCGATTAGCAAAGTAACTAACATGGTATAAAGTAAAAAAATAAATAAAAAATAAATACAGCAATATACACTTAAGCCAGCAGACGAAACCCATATAAATAACATTACTATCAACCAATAAAGCATAAGAACTGATGCGTAGACTACAATATGGAGCTTCCTTTCAAAGTAATCTAAATCTTAATTACCGACATATTATCTCAAGTTTATATCTGATCTAAACAAAATTTAACTTTTGTTTATCAGCAAAGTTCGCTTGATATAAAAAAAACAGTTGAAATGAAAAAAGCTCTCTTCTATTTCGTATTTATTTATATATCTAATGTCTCCCTATACTCTATATAGAAATGTATACTAATGATCATTTTCTTATACTTTAAGAAAACCTGTCGTCTTTTACTTTTATTTTGAATTCCTTTATTTTTAATTTCAGCACAAAATCCCTGTTAAAAATAGATTAAAAATAAATGGTATACATATATATATGTACATCTGTGCACACGACGAGTGCAATGAGAAAACCCAGAGAAACGAAACAAATGCTGAAAAACTTAAGGGAAAATGAAAAATTTGAAAAAAAAAAACTCTATTTTTAATCATTTTAGCGGCGTGACAAGACAAGTTCGAGTAAATTGAAAACAAAACAAGAAATGGCTCAGAATGAAAATAGCCGGAAAAGCAGGGCGAATGAATCGACTAAATATAGCAGAGTCATACCCGATTCCCTAGATGATATTTTATACCAAACTTGAAGCATTTATATATGTATGTATATATACATAGAGACTATTAGCTCGTGTTCTTTCTTTTTGGCCGGCTTTGTTGGCTAACAAGACAATTGCAACAACAACAGCAATATAACAAAGAGCGAGGCAAATGCAATTTATAAATAACAAAATGTAGGCAGCATTTCCCCCGTGACATCAGCGCCAGCATCATTCGAACATGAAAACTCATTTTCACTCGCTGCCGTTGTCTCTGTAAACAGCTTTAATTATACATCCATACGTACATATGTACATACATACATACCTATATACATCAATAGCAGACGTGCCATAGACGAGCTGCGTTTCAATGTAGAAAAAGTGATCTCATTGCCTTTGTACTTAGCTACACATACACATATATATACTTCTACTTAATACATCTATTCAAGTCGTATAATCAACAAAAGGCTTTAATACTCGTAAACCTTGTCGACAGACAGCTAAGTGTGATCATCATTTTGCGTTTGACTTTGGCTTACAGATCAAATTTACAACGTGGGTTTAAGTCAATTGCGTTAAAAATAATACAATCTATCAGCAGGATAAATTAGTTTAGCTCTTACTCAAATTTGAAATTAGCGTACAGCTTTACAAGCTCCCAATGATAAGAGGTATTTTATGTATTTAAACAGAGTTAACTCAAGAAGTGTGAAAACTGTTTTGAAGTTTTTGGAAAAAATATATTAAATAAGTGGAAAATTTAGTTCTTCGTGAAAATTCCTTTCATTATCTGAGCAGCGATCAGTCAATAGGATATTTTACTGGGACATAGTGGAAAATTTGTAAAATGAATGGAGAAGAGAATTTGGAGAAGAAAGATGTAGAAGAGATTTTGGCAAGCAAAGACTTAAAGCAATTGTATGGGATATTTATGCTTAATGGGGAAATTTCAAAGTAAAGTCTTAGACTCAATTTGTTTATATTTTTAATGAACTTTTTGCACGCCAGGCACTTAATTAAAAGGAAATGTTCTAAATACGGCAATAAATTTAAAAAGGGGAATTTCTATATGTAATTTAAGTCTGCAGTTTCTATACATATAATATATTTATATAGTATAAAAATATGTATAGGCATAAATATTTTATGTTTTTTTTTTTTTTTTTTTTTTTTTTTTGCTATAAAGCCTTTATGTCTTGGCAAGCGAATTAAATTTATATTTTAGAAAATTGTGAAATAAAGAAAATGAAATGATGTTAGGCAATGTCTTTATCCAAGTGAGATAGATATCATATAACGCACTTAGCAAGATATCGATCTGCATCAATATTTACTCGCCCAATAATCAGAGGCCAATTGATAAATGGAAAAATTTGGAGCAACAGTTGACACTTGGATAAACAACATTGGGGGCTGGTCATCGTAATTTATGGTGTGAGATTATAGTACGCTTTACGCGCAGCTAACTGAAACATACAACCTATATCCCGCTCCCACATCTACGCCATTGGCTGTACAAACAGAAGTGGGAGCCCGCGATAAGAGCCGCGTGCCGCCAGTAGCCGCTGCCAGCAGCAGCGGCAGCAGCAGAGGCAGCGCAGCATTGCTCAAGAGATATAACCAGTCCAATCTAAATTCCAGTCAGTCAGTTGATAGACAGCCAAGATTGCAGTTAACCAAAACAGCAAAAATTAAGAAAAACTTTTAGAATGTCCACGCTTGAAAACGAGGTGACATTCCGCCAGCGCACCCAACTCAATCAAAATCTGGAGTCACAGTTTAGCAGCAGCTCCACGGATTTCATTTTGCTCACAGATCATCGCTCTTCAAAGTTCAAAAGTCTCGAGCAGTTGGAAGCTGCAAAAGGCGACTCGAACGAATCCTGTTGCAGTCGTCACTGCGGCAACATCTGTCGCATGAAGACCCTGAAGAAACGTCTGCCCATTCTCAGCTGGTTGCCCAAATATAGCCGCAGCGATGCCTTTGGCGATCTGATTGCTGGCCTGACAGTGGGCCTTACGGTCATTCCCCAAGGCCTAGCCTACTCGGGTGTCGTTAATTTGCCACCTCAGGTAAGCTCCACTAACGGATATTGTGCATGTGTCTGTGCAAATATGTTTTCACAGCCTTATCTTTATGGGCAGTTCTAGGGCCTCCAAGTGAAAATCATAAACTAAATAAATATAATAAGAAAAGTGATATACTTTTAAGTACGCATAAAAGATGCTGACGTATGCACGAATTTATATGCCAATATATTTTCTACTTCATATTGTACCATGGAAAAAAAATATGGATAGTGAGAGACAATATATAATTTCGAAAACATATTTTAAAATATGTTATAGAGGAAGGAAAATCACGTATTTCAATTTTTAAATGAAATTAATTGTAAATTCTTATAGGAAAAATCATCTTAAAAATATGCTTCAAACTAATGCAACTACTGCATAAATTTGTTAAAAAAAAAGTAAATAAACAAATTGCAAGACACAAAAACAAAATAAATATAAAAAATATTGGCTCAAAGACTTAGATGTAAAATGAAATAAATAAAAA